TCTTCCTCCCGATGAACGCCTGCTATCTTTCTCGCATCAATCTCGCCCGAGCGCTGATATATCAGGAAATAAATGAGAGGAGATCGCCACCTCTTCTGTCACTGCCTTAATGTGTCAGATAAGCAGCTCCATATAATTACAATCCTCCAAAATAATTGCAACAAGAGGCTAAACGCTTAGCTGTAGTTTTAATTAGGCCGTGCTTCAAATTAATAATTGCCGCTTAAATCAGAAATCAGGCCCACTGTTGTGGCGGCTGCGTCGTTCTAATAACAGTGGCACTCGTTGGCTGTTTAATACATTATTTCTCTATGGGAGGCTTTCACCGGGGGCTGCGGAGGGAGAGAGAGAAGCAGGCACTCTATTTGGTTATCTTTCAAATGCAGCAAAGCTCAGCTGAGATTAAATTAATTCGCTTTTCCATGGATATCGCAGTTCATTTCCCCCCTTCGTCGGCAGTGCTAGGATGAGGCAGAGGAGAGGTGGAGTACGAAAGAATGGAAGGAGAAAACTGCCAATGCCACATATTCCAAAACGTAATCATGCCACCAACAACATCAGCGTAATAAAGCGCCTGGCCACTGCTGTTTAACATACGGCGTGCTGTCAACACACGGATAAGACTGAATATATGGCCAAGAGAACATTTTGGTAATGTGTTTATGTGAAGTCTGAATATATCACTGGTGTTTCCCAGAGGAAGGAAGGTGGGAAGCGCCTCCTCTGAAGCATGGGGAGAGAAAATTATTGACTGTACAAAAATCAAGCAAAACAAACATTACGAAAGAAGAGATTAAATCGTGTCTTTAGAGTGTTTTCAGAGATTGTCAGAGATTGCTTTGCGCTTGCTAGCTTGCAGCCATCAGGTCTCTAGGGTTACACTTTAGTTTAGGGTCCATTTCTCACTATTGACTAGTTGCTTATTAGCATGCCTATTATTGACATATTGGCTGTTTATTAGTACTCATAAAGCACTTATTCTGCATGAGCATATGTGATCCTGGACCATAAAACCAGTCATAAGGGTCCATTTTTTTTAAACTAAGATTTATACATCATCGGAAAGCTGAATAAATAAGCTTTCCATTGATGTATGGTTTGTTATGATAGAACAATATTTGGCTGAGATGCAACTATTTGAAAATCTGGAATCTGAGGGTGCAAAAAAAATCAAAATACTGAGAAAATTGCTTTTAAAGTTGTCCAAATGAAGTTGTTAGCAAAGCATATTACTAATCAAAAATTCAGTTTTGATATATTTACGGTAGGGAATTTACAAAATATCTTCATGGAACATGATCTTTACTTAATATCCTAATGACTTTTGGCATAAAAGAAAAATCTATAATTTTGACCCATACAATGTATTTTTGGCTATTGCTACAAATATACCCCAGCGACTTAAGACTGGTTTTGTGCTCCAGGGTCACATATTTTCCATCCCTAATTCTACCCAATAGCTAAACTTAACACCTACCTTACTCACTATTAATAAGCAGCAAATTAGGAGTTTATTGAGGCAAAAGTCATAGTTAATGATTTGTTAATATCAAGAATTGGACCTTAAAATAAAGTGTGACCGATAGTCTGGTCAGTGTTGTTTTAGTATCATTGAGATGCTATTATAGTTATTTAAGTATATTTAGAACTAGTTGTTATTTGCATTTTCCATTTTAATTTTAGTAAATTTTTTATAATTTTGTTGTGTGTTTTATCATTTTGTTTGTGTTGTTGTTTTTTAATTACCTTTCCCCCCTATATTTTAGGTAGTTTTATTTATTTTATTTCAGTTTTAGTTTATTTTAGTACATCAAGTTAAACAAAAAATTGAAATGAGAAATGTTGCTTTGGCAACTAGGTGAAATAAAACATGTATAATAACTCTGTGTCACAAAAAGGTTGCAATTAAGGATGAGGTGAGGCTCTAAGCACAGCAATTTAGATTTACACAAACTCAAAACTGGACAGAGAAACTGAATAACAAGGTTACACGCAACAAGAACTGACAATGAACAGAAGAAAACGCAAGGCTTAAATACCCTGAAACAAAGCAATCAAACAGGTGCAGACACTAATCAAATCAATGAGTAACTAAGATAACAAACTAGTGGCGGGGAATTCAAAACAAAGGAAACTAGGTCAAACTAGAACAAAGCCAAACGGAACAGAACATACACGTGACACCCTGATTCTTGTCTTTAAATATATTTTCATGAATGAAAACCCATGTGCTATAAAACTAGGGGTTATTTGCACCTCAGCGTTCTTTCTTTCGTTCCTTAATCGTCTATAGCACCCTTTGCTATACTGTGCAGCACTTTGTATTTGGAGGGTAATGCAGTGTCAGGGGACCCAAGTGCCTGAAAGGCTATGCCACTGAGAGCTGTAAATTTGATTTATCATCCTGTCAGATGGCTATGTCAGGTGTGCCCAGCACGCTGACATAAAGATAACTGACATCTTGCTGTCATTAAGGCCTGGGAAGCACCGTCAATCTCTCATCGCCGTATTTATTCCCACTTTTCTTTGTCACTTATTTCTTCCTCGACCCCTCAGAAGAAGCACCTGTCACCCCCAGACCAGGCCTCGTTTTTCTCGCACCGTTTCATCTCCCGCCTTCTGGAATAATTTAGTGATGGATTAAACGCCGTGGCTGAAGCCGCGGGACTCCGAGGTGCGCTTCGGAGGATAGCGAAGGCCGACTGAAGACGGACTGATTCCAGCTCTCCGGCTCGCTGTGCTATCCATCACCTCCAAGAGCTGGATGACTCTCTGTTGCTCTGGGAAAGTGTCCTATTAGAAGGGGTTGATGAAATATGTGTTTGAGGTATCTTGGGTTTTAGCAATGTTGACGTTAGATGAACGCGATGATTCTAAATTATAAAATTGAAGGGATAAGGCATGAGTTAGAATAGCAAATCTTTTGAAGCATGTTGAATATTGAGGCACGCATTTGAAATGTTAACCGTGATCAAAATACCATAGATACTACAATTATGGTTAATGATCATAACTAATTGGGGGCAGTCGTGGCCTAATGGTTGGAGAGGCTGACTTGTAACCCAAAGGTCGTGGGTTCAAGTCTCAGTACCAGCAGGGATTTAAAAAAAATAAAAAATGTCTCGCTACTGCTCCGTGTGTGTGTGTGTGTGTGTTTATGTGTGTGTGTTCACTAGGATGGGTTAGCGGGAGTGCACTTGGATGGGTTAAATGCAGAGCATTTAATTCTGAGAATGGGACACCATACTTGGCTACACATCACGTCATTTTCAATTGTTATGGAACTCTTTGTAATTTTGCATTTATTTATTTGTTTGTTTGTTTGTTTGTTTGTTTGTTTGTTTATTTGCTTATAACTTGCTTATTTTTTTATGGTATTGGTGGCTGATAACAAGTTATTGTATTTTATAACAACTGATAAGTTGACTTAAAAAAATCACATATCAATATAACAAAATATTGCATCAGTAATAAAACACTTTATTATTATTATTGTTGTTGTTGTTGTTGGTATATTGATATATAATCACAATATTTTTGTGCCAGATTCTTTCTATCTTTTTTTCTTTCTTTCTTTAAAATATTGAACAAATCTATTTTATAAGTAATATTTAATATTTCACCCCAAACTAAAATAATAATACTACTACTAATAATAATAATAAATAGTAAGGTTATTATTAAAGTCATAACGACATATTATCAAATTGTGCAACCCTACAAACCTGGAGCCTTTTTAATCACATTTTAAATCGAAAAAAATCAAGAAATTGCAATTACATTTTTTTTTGCACAAATTGTGCAGCCTATAGTTAAGGCGGTCAATTTGATTACAATAATAAAAAAGCAACATAATAGCAAGAATCAAAGATGCTTTTGCGAGACATAAAGTCACACTGTGACATAAAAAGTGACATTGTGAGATACATAGATGTGTTTTGTGATTTTCATGCTTCCAACCTTTCAAATCCCTCACCCCAAGTCTGATAGTGAAAGGTGTCTTTAGCATGCTAATTTGTTTTGAAGGAATAGCAGATCTTTCGAAGCATGTCTTGTATCCTTCAGTGAGTAAGTGAGTGAACGAACGAACAAATGACCAGACGAGCGCTTAGACATCCTCATACATGCACATAATAAGGCAGCCAAAGGAAACGGCACCATTTATATCACGCCGTTGTTCCTCCTCAGGGACCGATGCTAATGCTACAGCTAGCGGCTGTGGCATGTGTCTGTTCCTGAGGGAGGCCTGCGTTAACCTGAGGCCATTCTGCATTATGATAATGATAGAACCGAGTCTACGGGTCCTAATCAGCTACTGTCAGCCTATAACACCGGCCCAGGGGCCAACCAACCACAGCTAGCATCGCACGCTTTCAGCTTAGCACCCCGTGTGTTTGTTTCCTTGCTAATAGACGAAGTTTGTTCAACGGTGAGTCGTTTACAGACGTTAAATAACTCAGAAAAGGCCTGGGAGAGGCTTTTGAGGAGCTGCTCGAATGAAGTCATCATTTTAATGAATGTAAAGAAAAATGCGAGGCTGACAGAGTCCCTCAGAGGGCGGTGCTTGGGTTTTCATTTGTGAAATCATTTACTCCACACGATGAATTTGGGATTGTCAGCTACCGCAGTATGACATCTCCCTTTGTTTAAAACAAGCTTGCATTTCCTGTAACAATCCCCCACACTGATTATCATATGAGGTCCTTCAAATCTAAATAAACGTTCCCCGAGGCTCCAGCCCTTCTTACAGCATTTCAAACCGAGCTGCCTCTTCCTGGCAGTCTCCTGTCTGTTCCTGCAAAGCATCTGTGCACCAATCCAGTTACTTTATCTCCTCCGCCACGCTCTCCTCATCTGCTTAGTGTCAGCTCGGGCCTATTAGACAGATAAGGGCTTCCCTTGAATCTCTTACAGGCAGGGTTTTTTGCCGTTGATTTCTCGCATGCCAACTCGAATCATGCTCTTACTCTCTGTCGTTCTTTCTCTCTTGTTTCCCGCAGTCATTACGAGCAGGACCGCTCGGCGCTGAAGAAGAAGGAGTGGGAGCGAAGGACACAGGAAGTGCAGCAAGATGAAGACTTGTTCTCTACTGGATTTAATCTGTTTGGTGAGCCGTACAAGGTAAGTGTTATGCCAAAAGGCCCAATCAGAGCACACACACACACACACACACACTCACACTCATCGTCTGACACAGGGCAGCTAAGAGATGCTGAGTTGCATCAGTTTTATCTAACAATAAAACATTGGCTATATTTAAAGGAAATTTCTACCAAAAAATAAAATAAAATAATACAAAAAAAACTGTGTAAAAATCTTGCATATTGCAAGTAAATATTACAGAACTTTCAACAATTCTGTTGGCATTACATACACCAAATGAGGCCCGAACTGAATGCGAATTTGCAGTTAATTAAGAAAAGAGTTAATATTTTGTCCTGTCAATCTGACCGTATTTATTTAAGCTTGTGCCTGTTGTGAACCAAGACAGTTTCCCAGACATTGAGATGAAAGGTCAAATTCACGCTCATGAGCATCTCAGCATACCCAAATGGTAATCATCTTTGCCATTACCTTTATTACATGAACATATCTGCAGTATACTTAAATTACAGTGCTTAAATAGCTATCTGGCTATTGGCTTAAAATCGCTTTCCCTTCACACGTGGCCCATGTGACATCAGTCGAAAAGGAAAGTTGTTTTTGAGAGTTAGTACCCTTTTCTGGATTTTGCAAACAAACAGGAATATTGTACAGATGATTTGTAGAAAGAAAGAAAAAAGCCCTGGAATGTGTATTAAAGAAGTAAACAGGGCCATTGTTGAATTTCAGAACTGTTGAACATCTACAGTAGGAGAATAAATCACCTGCACTAAGATTCACTAGTGTCACCACTCAAAGAACATCACTTTTATTGCATCAATAAGCGTCAAGGTCGCTCTTCCAGCCTCAGGTAGCTTATCTGTTTCCTTAGCCAATTGTTAGCAAGGGCTGAGACAGACCATCTCGGTGAGAGTGAAGGACCGTCATTACGGCAGTCCCGAGGTCCTGAGGAGCCAGAGAGCAGGATCAATTTCCCCTTGTGTCTCTGCATTCAGTCAGTAGGTGAAGAACTGCCTTTGGCGTCATGGAACTGGAAAGCCTGGATGAGGGTGATCTTACCGTCACTCACCACTTACTCATGCCTTAATTGTTCAATCTGTGTCGTTTCCGCGATACTGCCATGTAAACAATTATGACGGGATGAGTTGTGACAGATTATGACAACATTTTACATCTTTAGTTCTGATCCAGGACAGGGATTTTCATTCTTGTAATAGCAAGTTTTCACTTGAGCGTGGCTTGAAGATTTCTTCTGGTTTGAGTGACAGCGTCGCTTAGAGTTTGGCAGTTAAACGACTGCGATATTTTCCATGCAAAAGCTGTGATTGAGGGTTGTTTTAGCTCGGTTGAGATGAATAGTCAGCATACTGAAGAATAAAGCATATGTCAGCTTGTGCATTTTAGTTCTGTCAAAGGATCTGTGATAATTGATGCAGATATGAAAAATGATTTATGAGCTCGATTTACCATCGGGAACATCCAAGTTTAATTTACTAGAAGAGCTAATTCCCTCATAAATGGTGTTCAAACATGATGGCGTGTCTGTAAACTGGAGCTTTGAAGCAAGGAATGCCTTTTTGTAGAAGAAGGGCCTGGAGTTTGTCTGTTGCTTCCCACAGAGCAGCAGAAAGATGTAGTGCTGCCTTCTTTTTTTGAGGGCTAATTACAGTTCTCCTAAGACAAGGCACACTCTCTCCCCCTCCTTTTGGTTTCGCGATTATTATTTTTTCTCCTTAACTTCATATCTGCATTCCCTCTCTCTATCTTTCTCTAATCAACTCTACATATGCCATTTATCTTCATCTGGTCCAAACCTCTTCCTCTTAGCCTCTGAAATTAGTTGCCTCAACACCAGAGCTCTCCACTAAAAAAACTTCAGCCTCACATATATAAAGCTAAAATTGGGTCGCTGCTGACGTCAAGCCGAAGCTGTGAGCGGAGGTTTTGCTCAGGGTTTTAATGTGAATATCATTGGTCTCTGAAATACTTACAGGGTGACATTAGGTAAAGGGTACATGTGTTGTTTCTTTTGCTTTATTTATATAGCATTTGTAATAATGAAAATGGTCTCAAAGCAGCTTTACAGGGTGCCGAGACTAAATCTCCAACAATCTACAATCGCACAAGTAGAAAAACTTCATAAAAGCCATCAGTCATAATTCCAATGTCTCTATTATGTAATCTTTTTGTTATTTGTACAAGAAACTACAGTGGCGCCAAAAGGTTTTTGGACAATTGAGACACATTTAAAGTATTGAAGACTTTAGAGAAGAAAACTCAAATCAAACCAAGACCACTTGTTTGCGTCACTGCAGTGCAAAAACCTCGCAAATGAGCCTTGAGAACCCACCAGGAGTCTTGAGTAAGTCATTGTAATTCTTGTCAGCACAAACACGCCTCTTTTTGTGTAAATTAGACTTATTATAGATTTATTCACAAAGCACAGTGCTATTTGTTTGGTGCAATTAGCATTGCATTATTAGGAAAGCAGGGGGTCAAATGACTTCCATTGAAAATAAATGTTTGTTTAAATTGTTTATTAGTCTTGGCAGTTATTCATCAAATTATGGAGAAAAGCATTATAAACAGGCATATATCCAGATGTAGTGTGCACACTTTCAGCATTATAAAGAGCTTATTCAGGCGGTCGCAGTGGTGCTGTACAGACCAAGTGTGTTGGATTGTGTGCTCTGCTGCATCCTTCATAATCTAGCACTGCAAGATGGGGAATTGTGCCGTGAAAATTGCATTCGGCACTAATTTTGTGGGCGCGTGTTCGCCATTACCTGATTTGTGTAATTCCTTTAGTGAATCGGGCACAAAAACTACACAGACAGCACATGCAAATTAACAGCACAATCAATAGGCACAATTCATTCCTACTGAATTCCCCCATTGTCTCAGTTCACTAGTACACTGGACAAGTAGTAAGGCATTTCTAGAGCTGTCCAGTGCACTGAAATGTTAATTTCCTAGAAATTCCCAGAATGCACCATAAACAGTGAGCATCAGTTGCTCTCTGTGTTAACTTACTGGAAGTGTTCTCATGTCTATATTAATAAGCATTTTTTTAAAACTTGTTAATAATTGAATATATAACTTGTTTGTGTATACAGATGCACATACAGATTGTATGTTATTATAGTATTATTTATATACTAATATTATGTTTATTAATATTTTCTGGTTTAAATTTAATTTGAGTGTACATTTTAGTAATTGTGTTATTTGCTTTTGTCATTTTTATTAGTTTTTACTTTTATTGTTTATACTTCAAGTTTTATTTCAGTTTTAGTTCTAGTAATTTTAGTACTTTAACTTTAAATTATTTTTTCTTCTGTTAGTTGACAAGGCACCATTTCTATTTTTTTTTTGCTAAATGTTTTTAAATTTTTTTTCAGTTAATGAAATTTAACTGAATATTTTTAATTATTTTAATGTTTTAACAATAACAACGTTGTTATGTATTCATTTAATGTATGTTTAGTTGGAGAAAATGGATAAAAAAATATTTGATTCTAAATAGAATATAATGAGAATTGTATTAATTTGGAACACACAGTAAATTAAAATGATAATAAATCACCTTGACTCCAGTTTGCTAATAGTCTTTTTGAAAAAAAATTATAAAAAGGCTCAGAAAAGGGAAATAATTTTGAATTAATTTTAATTCAATTAAATTCATACATATTTAATTAAGGCACATTTATTCAAAATTTTGGAGGCACTGTACATGAACACTGTACTGGGGGAAAAATGTGCACTTGACAAATGGAGGCTCAAACCATTTCTGAGTGAGTTTGCATAGAGAATGTAATTGTTCCTGGCCCACAGGAATCTGCTGTCCCAGCATTCCTCGCTGCAGCTGTGCAGTTGCATCACACTCCTGAATGATGTGTTGTGCTTTGAACCTGACTCCATTCAGTGAGCCACACTGTGTCCTGTCAAATGTGAGATGGGATTTGGAGCTCAAAAGCGGCCACTGAGTCGGAGCACAATGAAAGATCCAGACAGGAGCTCTGTGAGAGCATCTTACCACCTTTGAAAGATTAACAAGAAAAGTGCTACGTAAATATGAGTATGCCCTCAAAATGTATTTTTTATTTTTTTTGATTGTGCTAAAGCATGAAAATATCATAATATTTTTGCGTATAATTAGGAAAAATGCTAAGTTCACATACTTGTTTCTATGAAAAACAATGCTACAGTCAGTTATTCTACTTTGAAATGAGTTCCGTGTCGGAATGTCTGTTTTTGTTTTGGTCTGTGTGATTCCAACTATTGCCAATTTACCCAATAGTATTTCGACTCCCCGGGTTGCCAGTTGGCAGAAAGCATATTGCAGTCATGGAAGTCAGCAAATGAACTGGGTCAGTGATCGCAGATTCTACCCGACCTAAAAAGTCTTGTCATCCATCTAAAAATCTTTATGACCAGAGGAATATTAAAACCCAGATAAATCAACAGTGTAAGGCTCGTCGCCTTCCATTGTCAATTGCGCTTGTTCCTGTTGCGTGCACTCAATCTGGCAACCCATGTGAGCGTCGAGTCTGAGGAGGAAAGGGTGGGATAAACAACATTTTGAATTTGGACTGCAGTACTCATTTCAACCACTAGTTGTCAATATTAAATACTGCATCTTTAAACATTTCCCTACAAAACTGTTAATAGCTGTAATTGCGCTAAATATTTAACAGCCACATGACTTCCTCCATGACGTAAGTCAATACGAACCTTCCTCTTGAAAGCTAGGACATGAGCACTTCGTTTTTTATTCCCTCGCCAACCCCTCTTTGCTGCCCTCCTCCCCCCGACCACTCATCTAAGGCTGCTATTAGCTAATCCCCCTAAATCTTGTTTAATGGAACTGTGCCGTTAACAGCTATTTGGGACTAATTTACTGGTTCCCAGATCGCTTTGCACCTTCAAAGCAGTTCCAGTGGTACTAGCGCCGTAGCTTGAATGCCCCCGACACCCCCTGGTGCTTCAACCTTCCCCCTAGTGTCCCTTCATTGCCT